AGAGCCCTACCCTTAATGGACTGATCCACCCAGGCACCCCCCCCCCCGGGTTGCAGATTCTTTCTTTTTTTAAATTTTTTAACGTTTATTTATTATTGAGAGGCAGAGAAAGACAGAGCATGAGCATGGGAGGGGCAGAGAGAGGGGGAGACACAGAATCCGAAGCAGGCTCCAGGCTCTGAGCTGTCAGCACAGAGCCTGATGCAGGGCTCGAACCCACAAACTGTAAGATCATGACATGAGCTGAAGTTGGATGCTTAACGGACTGAGCCAGCCAGGTGCCATGAGTTGCAGATTCTTAACTGAAAGCTGGAATTGAGGGAAAGGTTGGGGAGAAGGAGTCCTTCAAACTCAGGAAGGACAGCATTCATGCATCTCTCAAATTTGCCTGGATGAAGAACTGGTCTGTTTTCAACTAGTACCAAGTCAAATTAGTTTACAGATATGTAGAGGAAGAAAGGAAGAGGAATCTTTGTGAGTAAAATGTCTACCTATGGTTCCTCTTGGTACAACCCCAGCCATAGTATCCAAGGACTCTGAAGGAATGTGAGAGGCACAGGGTTACAAGTTTATGCCTCCCCGGTCCACTGGCAGCTTGAGAAGAGGAAAGAATGAATGTTAACTCAGCTTTGGAACAGCACCAGAAAAACCCAGTGTGTGTGGAGGGAAGGGAACTCTAACGGGGTGGGGTGGGGTATTGTTGGATTAAGAGTTTACTACAAAATTAACAGATACCCTAGAAAAATCACATTTCATCATGAATCCTACTTGTTTCCCCCCTCCCCCCACCCCCCGGCAGGCAAGAGGGTGCCATGGACATAAAATAGTTTATGCTGCCATTTTTTGGTCCTGTCTTCCATATCAGAAGCTTGGAATCCCTGTCTATGAGGTTCATTGGCAAATTGACATTTAGGATAGCGGTTCTCAAACTGCTTGCTTCCAAAACACTGATAGCCTGCAGCTAGCCTCAAAGAATCACAATCTCTTCCCAATTTCTGAGAAAAAAAAAATGAGCCAAAATGATGTGATTTTTTTCCTTTGTAAAAATATCCCCAAATCTTTGGTGTTTGCTTTTATTTGTGTGTTATCTAGTTTAGTTCAAACATATGCATCTGTTTATGTTGAAACTTAATAGATCATTATTTCTAGTTTGTAAAGAGTCTGTTAGTTCTAGGTGGTCTATAACCTCCCTTTGATTGAGGTCCGCTGTTGGAGCAAAATGTAGGGAGCATGTCATATCATTCTTGAGTGTCCCCTGAATGTAAATGAGTCCTTTGTGGACATCTGGCTCTAGGGATAGTAGCAGTGAATTGCACGAGATTGTGGGACGACTGAGGAAAGAAACCTGACCTCACATCCCTGACCAGTTTTGTCTGTTGTTCTAAACCTGACACATATTTTGTAAACTCAAACCATTCTTTTGCTGAGGTTTGTGGAAGAGGGGTTAAACTTCTTGGCCAACCCCTCCTCCCTTCCAGTTGGTCTGTCAGTCTTCATTAAATCCCCAGTTGAACTGTTGTTTTTCAAAACAATAAAGTGGTTGTTTCTACGTACAACCTGTCTTTTCCTGATATGATTATTGTTTAAAATGGCCCCATGACATGGCCAGGGGTTCATTTGGCAATGACAGAAATTATAATTTTGCTTCTTACGGTATTTATTTTGTTTAAAATTTTTTTAATGTTTACTTATTTTTGAGACAGAGAGACACAGAGCATGAACAGAGGAGGGTCAGAGAGAGAGGGAGGCACAGAATCCGAAGCAGGCTCCAGGCTCTGAGCTGTCAGCACAGAGCCCGATGCGGGGCTCGAACCCACGGACCGCGAGATCATGACCTGAGCCGAAGTCGGAAGCTCAACCCACTGAGCCACCCAGGAGCCCCACTTCTTACTTTAAAAGTGGTTAAATTAACAGGAACCCATGGGGGAGGGAAAGGAAAAAAAAAAAAAAAAAAAGAGGTTAGAGTGGGAGAGAGCCAAAGCATAAGAGACTGTTGAGAACTGAGAACAAACTAAGGGTTGATGGGGGGTGGGAGGGAGGGAAGGGTGGGTGATGGGTATTGAGGAGGGCACCTTTTGGGATGAGCACTGGCTGTTGTATGGAAACCAATTTGACAATAAATTTCATATATAAATAAAAAAAATAAATAAATAAAATAAAAGTGGTTAAAGAAGCAAACTTAAAACAAACAAAAAAAGTTGCCATTTCATTAACCCTTCAGCCCCAGATAAAATTTTGCTGAAATTACTCATTGTTCTTTTCTTCAGCAAATATGTATTGAGAACCTTCGCTGTGTTGGCCCTTAGGGTATGAGGTGATTCCGTGTTTCTGGTTTCAGGGAGTTGACAGACAAGCAGTGTGGACCTGACTAAGGACTTGCTAAGAACTGGCTTCCGGAAGTGCTGCCTCAGGGACTCTTTGACCGTGACCATTTTCTTTCAGGTACAAATTACTGCTCCCATCTGGGCATGAGCCCATTTAAAGAGTCTGGCCAAGGAAAAAGCTGTCTGCTGTAGTTTCCTGGCCTCAGAGAACCCTTGCTGGTCAGCAGTACCTGACTCGGATCACCTTCACTGCTGTGTAGGTAATAGTTCTAGGAATAGTGTGTCCAGCGAGAGTAAATTAACTTGACAAGGAAGGAAACATTTGCTCTCCATCTGTGATACACGGTCCCAGGGAGCACTGGCGTCTCCCCTGGAGGATCCTAACAGCTGCCCAGTGGCATGCTTCACATCCCGAGGCTAGTCTTTCCCCAATTCGTATGGAATAGAAGTCATAAATGTTTAAGGCCATCCTGATCTGCACCCTAAGTGAGATCCGGAAGAGTATATTCAAGGCCAATGAACTGGGGAGGAGTCTACTAGTTTCGATTAGTTAAGCTGGGCCAGTCTGAAATCTACCTCTTTCCTGCACTGGGGGAAAGCTTGAAAGTGTCGATTTTAGTATCAGATAATAGTAATAATGATGGCAGATGATGATATAACACGTATGTCTTTCAAAACACATACATAAAGTATGTTTCAAAATGTACTTAACTCATTTAACCTCTCTCAACCCAAAGAGGTGGGTGCCGTTATTGTTGACAGGTTAGCCCTGGATCACACAATTTAGGATGTTTGATATACTTAGCCCATCTGGGATACAGTCTAATTCAACCTTGTTATTTTAGAGCATTTATTTGCCTCATGCCTACTCACTGTGAGAGGCATCCCAGCTCTGCAGACTGACTGCCCTAGTCCGCATCTTATGGCTCACTACTAACTAGCAGTGTGACCTTGAGCAACTCATTGTCTTCTTGGTGCCTCAGTTTCCTCTGTAAAATGGGCATGATCACAGAACTACCTTGCCAGACTGCTGGGAGGATAAAATGAATGCATACTAGAGTAGTAGTGCTTTGTACCCAGGATGTGCTATTATTTTTATTATCAGCTATTATTTTCTTTCCAGCTTCATCTCCCACTGGTCCTTAATATAGCAGCCATGCTGAGCAGAGCTCCCTTGAATATCTCCCTCTGTCATATCTCAGTGCCTTTGCACATGCTATTCCTTTTGCGTAGAATGCCTTTCCCTTCCTCTCGCTACTTTCCGCTTAAATGTTCCTTCCTAATGACCTTGCTTTGTGCCCTCCCCTGTTCTCCAGGCAACTGTTCCCTTCCTTCTCATGCCATTCATCTATCAAAGGACTTAGTGATTAACAACTACCCAACATTTATTGAGCACTTATTATGTGCCCAATAGTGTTCCAAGTGTTTTTCCTGCCTTTTTAAAAAAATATATTGACAGCTCCATGTGGTAGGGTTACATTTCGTCAAAATTATGTCCATGTCTATCTCCCCCAGTAGACTGTGATAGTGGTTTGTACATCTGCGTGTGTTATTCATTTTGTATCTCTAGGAGCTGGCAGAGTGCCTAATTAATACACAGTGGGCACTCCGTAAATGTGTAAGTGGGTACATTTTACCAACATCTATTTACATCTGAATAATAAGCTAATTGTAAGTGATTCTTCTTTTAAATAATCTTCATGCTTTTCTCGTTGCAGAAATTCACTGTCAAAATTTTAGAAAACCCCGATAAGTAAGAAGAAGGAAATTAAAATGCCACTGCTCCCAGCCCTGGAGAGCTTCAGCAACGTGCTTAGGGACACACAAGTGTTCTCAATAGCCAAACTGAGAATCAAGGTCAGGCAGGCTGGCGACAGAGCGCAAAGCTTTAACGCTGCATGAATCTGCTCTTCCTTCTCCCCTGGCAAACACACACACACACACCCTCCCGTGAACAAATTATATTAGCTATTAAAATAGGTTGGAAGAGCCGACATTGGAAAATGAAATCTACCGTATGTATGACGGTGCAAGATGTGAAATCTACATTTAAAAAACGGGCAGTATTCTGTCTTTTCATGCCTTCACACTTCCTGTTCCACCACCTACGTGGGGGAATCTGGACTGGGAGGCAGCGTAGTGAGGGAAGCTAGAATCGAGGATGGCCTCTAAATCAGAGAGACACAGGTTCGAGCCCCGGCTGTGCCACCAGGTGCCTTCCAGGGACGTGTTGCAAAACCTCCCTCAGTCTTTATTTCTCCTGTAAAATAGAGATAATAAAAAACACTTCACAGCGTCTTGTGAAGTTTAGAGGTTACATGATGGTGAAGTGCCTTGCGCTTGATTAATGGTAGGTCTTGTTAAGTCTCTAATGGTGACATTCTGTGGCTTCCCCAAACAGCAACCTTGCCAACTTGATGTCCACTGCCACTACATGTATTTGTTTATTTGCAATCCTTCGTTTTCATTCTGGTGGTAACTTAACTTTCATATTATTATTAGATGCCTTGCCTCACAATCGTTTTCTTAGAAATTCAATCTCTTCTCCACAGGGTCTCTTTGAGATTAAAGAGAAAGAAGTGGCACATTTAGGATCTGAGAGCAATTTTCATTTAAAAGAAGATCATTGTTTTCATTACCCTATCATTAATGTTTTCTATTTTCCTTTATCAGGGAGTCAGTTTGAAGTGATTTGTGTTGCCAAATCGAATGCTTGTTTTCCTGCAAGATGAAAGGAGACAGCCATGAATGAGCCACTGGACAGTTTTGCAAATGCTTCTTCTGACTTCCCCGATTTTGCAGCGCCTTTTGGAAATTGCACTGATGAAAAAATCCCACTCAAGAGGCACCACCTCCCTGTAATATATAGCATCATCTTCCTGGTGGGCTTTCCAGGGAACGCAGTAGCGATTTCCACTTACATTTTCAAAATGCGGCCGTGGAAAGGCAGCACCGTCATTATGCTGAACCTGGCCTGCACAGACCTGCTGTATCTAACCAGCTTCCCTTTCCTGATTCACTACTATCTATGCCAGTGGCGAAAACTGGATCTTTGGGGATTTCATGTGCAAGTTCATCCGCTTCGGCTTCCATTTCAACCTGTATGGCAGCATCCTCTTCCTCACCTGTTACAGCATCTTCCGATACTTCGTGATCATTCACCCCATGAGCTGCTTTTCCTTTCACAAGACTCGATGGGCCGTGGTGGCCTGTGCTGTGGTGTGGATCATTTCCCTGGTGGCCGTCATTCCCATGACCTTCCTGATCACATCAACCACCGGGCCCAATAGATCGGCCTGCCTCGACCTCACCAGTTCGGATGACCTCGCCACTATCAAATGGTACAATCTAGTTTTGACTGCAACTACTTTCTGCCTTCCCCTGGTGATAGTGACACTGTGCTATACAATGATTATCTGCACCCTAACCCAAGGACCTCAGAATCACAGCTGCCTTAAGCAGAAAGCTAGAAGGCTAACCATTCTGCTACTCCTCGTGTTTTACATATGTTTTTTACCCTTCCACATCTTGAGGGTCATTCGGATCGAATCTCGACTGCTTTCAATCAGCTGCCCCATCGAGAATCAGATCCATGAAGCGTACATTGTTTCTAGGCCGTTAGCCGCCCTGAACACCTTCGGTAACCTGTTACTGTATGTGGTGGTCAGTGACAACTTCCAGCAGGCCCTCTGCTCGATGGTGAGATGCAAAGCCAGTGGGGACCTGGAACAAGCAAAAAAAATCAGTTACACAAACAACCCTTGACATACTTCATTTAGTCAACCAAGAAGAAAAACCTGCTGATATTCTAACTTCTAAGTCCAGAACGGCTCCCTCAGTGGCTCTCAGGAAATATTGTATGTTCAGGTAATCACGTGCCAAAGCCAGGACGGGGCTACCGGGAGTTCTTGGTAACCCGTTTATTGAGATCTTCCCTAGGGTAGAGGTAAGAATGGGATACATGCATATCAGCAGAAGATTCACATGTAGAATCCAAACTATTAGAAATCAGGGACATCTTGCAAAACATCTAGTCTTGGGGCACCTGCATGGCTCAGTTGGTTAAGCCTCCAAATCTTGATTTCGATTCAGGTCATGATCTCGAAGTTCATGAGTTCGAGCCCCTCGCTGGGGCCTGCACTGGCACTGAGGAGCCCGCTTGGGATTCTCTCTCTCCCTTTCTCTCTCTGTCCTCCTCAGCTCTCACTTTCTCTCTCTCTCCTCTCTCTCCAAACAAAAAAATAGATAAACTTAAAAAAAAGAAAAACATGCCCTAGATCTCTCAGGAAGTTAGTGCCAAGATTGGGGAAAACCAAGCTACTCACTCATGGTTTCATGCCCCCTTCATACTGGGGCCTGTTTGTGTTGAACCCCCAGACTATCCAAGGCATTATTTATCTCTTTTTCAGTATTCTTTTTGTTTTCATTTCATAGCTTTAAAACTTACTCTTTCAAACTTTGCTTTGAGGCCATTAAACTGCGTTTCTCACAAGGCTTTGGTCAAGTAGATTCAAGGTGGTCAGTACAATTCACCTGAGACACCCCAAAGATGTCAGTGCAAATAACAACATATGTGGGTCATTATGTCTGTATTGTTGTAGGTCGTTTTAAAAGTTGCTGCTGATTTATAAAAATGATCAACTAATACTAGTTATTATCACCACATCCTGGGGAAGGAGGAGCCACTTCTTGGGGAAACAGAAGTCCTTTTAAATACCTTGTATATAGGGGCGCCTGGGTGGCTCAATCAGTTGGGTGTCCAACTTTGGCTCAGGTCATGGTCTCACTGTTTGCGGGTTCGAGCCCCGCGTCGGGCTCTGTGCTGACCACTTGGAGACTGGAACCTGCTTCGGATTCTGTGTCTCCCCCTCTCTCTGCCCCTCCCATGCTCATGCTCTGTCTCTCTCTGTCTCTCAATAATGAATAAATGTTAAAAAAATTTTTTAAATATCGTGTATATATTGGATGTTAAGTAAAATCTAACGTCGTCATGATTTCTGTGGAAAACGATTCTCGGAAACACCGATTCCCTTTAGATAACGTTCTCTTTTGTGACTCTCTTGAAAATATGTTATCTATTTATTTTAACAGCTAAAGCTATTTTTGATTTATGTGTGTGCCTAATTATCACAATATAAGTTGAAATAATTTGAGAAAAATGCTCAGTCTGGACATTTAAAACCTTAGTAAATGTGTCGATACAATTAATAAACTAATTTATAAATTTTTTATGTTTGCTTTTGAGAGAGAGACAGAGCGTGAGCAGGGGAGGGGCAGAGAGAGAGAGGGAGACACAGAATCTGAAGCAGGCTCCAGGTTCCGAGCTGTCAGCACAGAGCCCAACGCAGGGCTCGAACTCACAAACCGCGAGATTGTGACCTGAGCCAAAGTCGGATGCTTAAGCAACTGAGCCACCCAAGTGCCCCAATAAACTAATTTAAAGACACTGGATAAATACTGAATAAGCTGGTAGTATTTTTCTGTGAAAGTGCAGCTTTACCACCATTATATATATTTACATGAAGCTTACGTTCTCCATGTGTAGAGAGCAAAACTGTTTGTGACTTTCAGGTTCTTCTAGAACATTACATCTGACTTAGACCTAAGTAAAGATGTGCTCCGGGAGCCTCTGCCAGGCTTGCAGGGGGAAGGAAGAGGCAGGCCGAAGGCTCCGCACATGGATGTTTCTGGATGATGACACTGTCTCCACCACCCACCTTCTGAGCCATCGTCTCCAGGGCCTTTCCAGAGCATAAGGAACGAGTTGTTTGACTGGAGGGCTTGACTTCCTCATGCACGTTGGCTGCACAGCATGAAACAGGATTCAGAGACCCGTTGGGAACCTGAAGGCTGGGTAGCTCTCCTTCCTATCTCCCTAGTGTCCCGCCCTCACCAAAGTGTGGACAGGTCAGCCTCTGTACCACAGCTGTTGTTATTCTAGCCCGGGACGCAAACCCCTTTCTGTCTCTATTCTTTCTTATTTCAAAGATTTTACCCACCAGAAAAAAAGCCACCCGAATCTCCTTTATGTCTGTCTCAACTGTCTCTGTAGAATCTTTTTTATCCTTTTCCTTCTTCCCACAAACGTACAGAACAGTAAATCATTTCTCTTTCTGATTCCAATTCTTCCACTGTGTCTTTGGTCCTTACTCTGCTGTCTTAGGGATTTTACTCTGCCACTGAATCCTATTTTCTCAAATTTTTAACATTTCTATTACCTTGGATAACCGACCTTAGTTTGGGAACATGCATAATATTCCTTTATCCTCAAAATACCTTCGCTCACTCAGCTGTGTTATTCTTTTATTGGCCCTGCTCCCTGCAGGTGTGGGTCAGGTGCAGATGACAGTCTGTCCTCCAGGGTTCTGCTGATAGAATATAATCGCAAAGATCCGAGCTAAATTAGACTCAAAGGGTCAGTCTTATTTTCCAAAGTAAAGAGTTCTGGGCTAATTGTGTTTGGAACTGAGGCCAAAAGAAGAGATTGATGATACTCCCAAGACTAGAATAGGACCCGAATGACCTTGTCTCGTAGTTGTAGGCCAAGAAAGTACAGGGACAAAAGAGCAGAGCTCTGTCTGCCAGAGAGGGAGCTGCTGGGTCTTCTCACCATATGAGGAATCTAAGTTCAAGTCAGGCCCAACGTGCTTGAGTGCAGGGAATCTAGAAAAAACTGTTCCAAACTTTAGCGACACGCTAACCCCTCCACTTTGTTTTTAACTGTCGATCATAGAATTTTTAAAAAAATGTTTTCTTTTTAATTTTTATTTTAGAGAGAGAGAGTGTGAGTGGGGGAAAGGGACAGAGGGAAAGAGAGAGTGCACAAGAGAGCATCTCAAGCAGACCCCATGCTCAGCATGGATCCTGACATGGGGCTCAATCCCCTGACCCTGGGATCATGACCTGAGCCGAAATCAAGATTCAGACGCTCAACCGACTGAACCACCCAGGAGCCCCTATCATGGAAATTTAAATGGTCAAAGAAGTAGAAAAAGTAACAAAATGACCTCCCATATCCATGACTGAATGTCACCAGTAACCAACATCCTGCCATTCTTGTCTCATCCATTCCCCCCACCCTTTTGTTTTTTTTGCTAGAATATTTAAAAGCAAATCCTAGGAGACATAGTAGTTTCACCTATAAATGCTTCAACATTGATCTCTTTCAAAAAGCAGAAAACCAAACAAAATAAAAAATTATTTCTTAATATTATCTAATATCCAATCCTTATTTTCCTTCCCTTGGTTACCCCAAACATGTCTTTATACAGTTGGCTTTTTCAAATTAGGGTCCAGGCAAGGTCTATGCGCTACATTTGGTTGATAGGTCTATCAAATTTCTGTTCATCTATTAGAGTTCCCCTTTCCTTTATTTATTGTCATCTATTTACTGAAGGGATTGAGTCATTTGCCCTGTGGAATCTTCCTCATTGCGTTTTAATTCCTTTCGGCTGTTTGTCATGTGGCTCCATGCCCTGCATTTGGTGTAAATTAGAAAGAACTGGAGGTTAGATTAGATGTAGATTCTTTTCTCCCACCCTCGCACCCTCCCTCCTCTCCCTTTCTTTCCCTCCCTCCCTCTTTCCCTGCCTCCTCTCCTTCCTCCTTTGTTTTCTTTTCACAGAAACAGGACTCCACCTCAGGAGGTATAGGGCCTGACTGCTCTCCATTTAACCATTGAGCAGGGGTTTCAGGATGTATCAGCCTGATCCTTGTATCATAAGGATCCTTTGCCCTTCATAGTTTTTCTGTCATTACTTATTGTCTGGACCCACTAGGGTGTTCACAGTGGTGACTTTTAAAAGTCTAACACCCTTCTGCTTTCATTTGTTAAGACTTTTCTGTAAAGATCTTTAACCCATCAACTGTCTCTTCCCCTGCTACTCTGAGCACAGACCCACCGATTACGTTTAGCTCCTCCTCCTCCTTTGGGAAGGCACAAATAAGGCATGAAAAGACAGAGTGTAAGTACTGGCAGAGTATCCTTTCTGTATGGGCCACATTTTTGTTCTTTAACTCTTCAGGGTTAACGGCCATGCCTGTGACCCACAGGGTTAGAGCTGCAGCCTTGGGGACCGAGCTGGCCTTGTTGTGCCATGCTTCTACAAACCCACCTTAGTGCCTCTGTGTATCTTCTTGGACTATAGCAGGGCATTTTCACTTTCCCCTAGAGAGCTCTGAGAAGAGGGAGAACAAGGCATTAATAATGACAAGGCCACGTAGCACTTGAGGCTAAATGCTCACTTCCTGTGCTAATTTCATTCTTAAATTCCACCCAGCGAACACCGTTCAATACAATCTACCTGATACTATACAATGAGTCCAGATGATATCAGATGATACAAGGCCAGCAAGGCAAAAATCCCTGAAGGGTGAGAGCCCTGTTCATTACTGAGTTCCTGGGAAGAGACTACATTTGTTATGCACATTGATCTGTCTTCTTTCAATTCTATTTCCTTTTCTGCACTTTCTTCTGAATATTCTCTATTTATCTTTCATTAATCCTGGCTTGTACTATAGATAATTTGCTATGAAACTCATGCATCGAATTCCTGATTTCAGATATTGTATTTTTTTTTTAATTTATACAATGTACTTTTGGTTCTCTTTATTCTACCACTTCTGTGAAGTAGTTTTTGTTGTTGTTGTTGTTGTTGTTTTTGTCTTTTGATCTGTTTTGTCCCTTTCCCTATATTTTCTAGAACTGAATAATCAGTTATTTTAAAGTCCCAATCTATTTGCTCCAATGTCATATCACCATTGGGTCTGCTTCTCTTGTCTGCCATTTTGCCTGTGTTTATGGGTCATGGGATCCTGTCTCCTTGAATGTCTATTAGTTTTTGCTTGACTGATAAAAATTGCCCATAAGAGAATCAAAGGGATTCCCCTGAGAGGTTTTTATTTCAGTTATTTTACTTTTTGATTATAAAGTTTTTATTTAATTCCACTTCTGAAATTTCCTCTCACTCACTAAATAAGTGAGAGAGTTAAAAGAAACTCTTCAAGCATATTTACATAGCTCCTTTATTATCTTTGTCTATTAAATCTAGCAGGACTGGCTGTCTTGCCTTACTTCTGGTGGCTCCAGAAGGAAGCCATTTCCTGGCATTTTCCAGGTTCTAGAAGCCACCTCATTCCTTGGTTTATGGCTGCTCCTTCCATCTTCAAAGCCAACATCTTCAATTCTCTCTGATTTGTGCTTCTAGGTGACTATCTCCTCTGCCCAACTCTGATTCTCCTACTTCTTTTTATTGTATCTCTTGCAATTACCTTGGGCCCACCTGGGTAACTCAGGATAATCTCTTCATCTCAAAATCCATAATTGAATCACATCCTCAAATCCCTTTTCCTGTGTAATGTAGGATATTTACAGGTTCCTGGGATTAGGACAAGGACATTTTTGGAAGGCTGTTACACAGCTGACCACAGTGGTTTCTTAAAGAGCAATTGACTCAAGTAACAATAATAACAACGTAAAGTGACTTTGAGGCTGGTTTCTGATTGCTTTTTTTTTTTTTCTTGGCTGTGAGACACATCTTTCTGTTTTTCATGTGTAATCATTTTTAACTGAATACGGGATATTGTGAGTACATCATTGTAGAGATTCTGGATTCTATTATTGTCCTCTGAAGATTGGTGACTTTTCTCTAGTAGACACAGCATTTACTTGCTAATC